GTGTGGATCACAACAAATTGTGGCAAGTTCTTAAAGAGATGGGAGTACCTGACCATCTTATTGTCTCTTGAGAAACCTATATGCAAGTCAAGAAGCAACAGTGAGAACTGGACATGGAACCAATGAGTGGTTCAAAATTGAGAAAGGAGTTTGGCAAGGCTGTATACTGTCGCCCTGCCTAGTTAACTTATATGCAGAGCACATCATGAGAAAGGCGGGGCTAGATGAATCTCCAGTTGGAATTAAGATTGCTGAGAGAAATATCAACAGCCTCAGATATGCAGATGATACCACTCTCATGGCAGAAAGTGAAGAGGAACTAAAGAGCCTCTTGATGCGGGTGAAGGAGGAGAGTGCAAAAGTTGGCTTGAAACTCAACATTAAGAAAACTAAGATCATGGCATCCGGTCCTCTCACTTCCTGGCAAATAGATGGGGAAGAAATGGAGGTAGTGACAGATTTTATTTTCCCGGGCTCCAAGATCACCGCAGACAGGGATTACAGCCAAGAAATTAAAAGACGCTTGCTCCTTGGGAGGAAAGCTATGGCAAATCTAGACAGCATACTAACAAGCAGAGACATCACCCTGCCAACAAAAGTGCGTATAGTCATGGCTATGATTTTCCCAGTTGCAATGTATGACTGTGACAGCTGGACCATAAGGAAGGCTGAGCGCCAAAGGATTGAGGCCTTTGAATTGTGGTGCTGGAGGAGACTCCTGCGAGTCCCTTGGACCGCAAGGTGATCAAACTGGTCAGTCCTAGAGGAGATCAACCCTGGCTGCTCTTTAGAAGACCAGATACTGAAGATGAAACTCAAATACTTTGGCCACCTAATGAGAAGGAAGGACTCCCTGGAGAAGAGCCTAATGCTGGGAACAATAGATGGCAAAAGAAGGGGAACAGCAGAGGATGAAATGGCTAGATGGAGTCACTGAAGCAGTTGGTGTGAGCTTGAGTGGTCTCCAGGGGATGGTGGAGGACAGGAAGGCCTGGAGGAATGTTGTCCAAGGGGTCGCGATGGGTCGGACACGACTTCACGACTAACAACAAATGAATTTACATATGTATTGACCTTCCTGTACCTTTGGAGGAGGTAATAGCAAATACTATTTGCCAAGAAACTGACCAGTTTACTAAATTTGCTCTCACTTCAGTTTTACTACTCTAAATCAGTTTCATATCATCCTGTGCTACCCAAATGTTTTGCACTTAAACTCTTATTAATCCCAGCCACTATGGCTAACAGTCAGACACACTGAGAGGAGTTATGGTCCAAAAAACCATAGGGCGACAGATTGTGGAATGCTGACCTGAAGAGTCCTGCTTATGATGCACAATGAGTAGTCTAGAAAATAAATCATGGTCAGTGCAGAGGTAAATAATGTGGCTAGTTAGCTACTTTATTCTTTGTTCTTTGTACTTTATTCTAGCTATTTGTATTGACATTAAAAGTTATTACAGTACCTTGTCCTTTTTCTTTCTCAACTAAGATTAAGGATGATTTCTTCTGGAATGATTATTCTTTTCCTTCTTACAAACCTTCTTATACATAAGAGAAACTGAGGCTGAGAATGCTTGCTGCATTATTCTCAATGGTTTAGACTGATTCCCACTATAATGGCATGGATTTATTTCCTTTTATTTTTAAAAGGAAACAAATCATGCTGCAGATAAAGTTTTCTGCAACTTCTATACGAATTAACAGCCATGGACAGATTGTGTGTGCCTGTATGTGTGGACCTTACTTTAAATAAAATCTGTGGTGGCAGTGAATTGTTATCTCTTTTATTATACTGGAAACAATTTTATAATACTGCAAATTTAGAAGCAATTTTTTGAGCTGGAAAAACTTTCCCAGCAGGGGCTGTGACCAGTGAAGTCACAAATGGTGCTCAGCTCCTACATTCTTCCCCAACACTGGAAAATGACTGGCTCACTCAGGATTACTTTCTTTGAAAGCCATCAGTTGTTTTGTAATGTTCACAGTTTTAAAAGGCAGGTGCTTTGAATAATCTCCAACCTTAAAATATATTGTGGATGGAGAGTGGGGAGGGGAGCGTAAGATATGCAAATCAGTGTAGCTTCTGGAAAAAGCAGCTGCAAAAAACTTGAAGGGGCAGTTGTTTATGGCCAGGGATTTTAATGAAAAGGCCTTAATATGCTCAGGTTGGAGATGTCCACAAAACTGAGGGGCAAATTTGGAACTGACTTGCAAGAGTCAGTAGAACTCCTTGTAATTCTGTTAAAGGGTTATCTGTGCTTTCTCTGGTTATGGAGTGTATTTGTCTCTGTTGTGTCCTGCTTCCAGATATCTAAAGAAAGCAAATAATGATACCATAAGTCACCAAAACTAAACCCTAGGACTTCTCACTGCTTGAGGAAGTTGTATCAACAGTATAAATTCTTGTTCTGCTTTGAGGAGTCTCTACCCCAACATCCTGAGAATTGGTCCTTGTTTTCTTTGTGTGTTTGCCCTGTACATTTTAAGCCCTATTAAACAGGGAAAGATCTATGCATATACAGTATGTACCACTATTGGCTCTAAAGAGGTGTTAGATTGTAAACAATAGTACCATGTTCACGTAACTGTGGGGACTGGCAGTGTTTACTTCCAGGGCTTTGTCAGGGAGCATGAAAGTAGTCTCAAATTCCAGAGTCTGTTCAATAATACCAACATATAGCACTTGTTGATGCGAAGCCCTACCTGAGGCGAACACTAGAAGATACAGTGGTACCTCAGTTCACGAACTTAATTCGTTCCACGATTCAGATTGTGAACCAAATTGGTCGCAAACCGAATCAAATTTCCCCATAAGGTTCAATGTAAATAAAGTTACTCCATTCTGAACCATATGTAATTTTTTTTTAACCACAAAAAATGAAACAAAGTACAGTACAATGGAGTATGAAGAGAGAGAACCCTAACCTTGCTTGAGGTGACTTCTGCCGTGGAGGACAGGAAGGTGGGTGGGGAGGAGGTTATTGCTTGGAGGGAGAGTCTGCGACTGAGATCTCAAGTATAGGAAGCCATGACCATGTGTCAGAGCAGGGAAGATGGCTACATTTATGTTCGTACAAACATGAACACAGCCATCTTTGCCGCACGAACACGATCACGGCCATCTTCCCTGCTCAGACATGCTCTGACATGTGGTCACAGTGCAGCATAGATGGCTATGATCATGTTCGTCACCCGATGCGGAATTCGTGAATGGAAGCAAAATTTTGCCAAACTTTCTGTTTGTGAACTGAATTGTTTGTGAACAGAAGCGTTCGTGAACCGAGGTATTACTGTATTAAGAAGTATCTTGTGAAAGGGGAGAGGAAAAATTTCTTTTCAGAAGAGAAAACATCTAATTCAACTATGCACACAAATCTCCCAGTAGGCACCTGTGGCTCTGCCCATCTTTTATATCAAGGCTGCTTTTTCTGCAGGGGCTGCTGTGCAGTGGAACATGGGAGAGGGTTAATATAGGAAAGGAGAGTTGCCATAATGCCGCTAATAATTTTTGCAGCAAGTAAGCCCTGACCATACTAAAGAATATTACCCTTCTAGGAACTTGATGTGAATAGTGGGAAGCTTTAAAGTGGGAATTGTAAAGGCCTCGCTGGACAGTGTTTGTGTGGGTAAGGTGGTGTCACCTAAGTCAGAAAACCAGCTGCTTTTTAAAAGCTTAAGACAAGAAATAATAGATAATACCTTTTACTAAGTTGCCAACTTGTCATAGGTGACTAGAAATTCTGTGTAGGTGAGTGCATGGAATTCTGTAAAGGCCTGTGAACAGGCTAGTAAAGGAGGGACACATCATTCTATTCCTCCTGTGCAATCTCACTTGGCTTCTGATTTAACTGGAGGAAAATCTGGTCTTCCATGACCAGCATGTAAACTCATCAAGCTGATAGAAAATAGAGTGATCCATCTCTTCTTTAGTAGCCCACTTGGTGAAAGTCAATTTCTTTTATTAGCCTAAAAGGCTAGTAGCTAGTATTTCTGCATAAGCTGAAGAGAAGAGGACTTTTCTCCTCTATGGTCTGAATGGAAATGCAAGGCATTAGCCTCTTATCCATATCTAAGCAATGCCATAGTAAATTATTTTGCAAGCCACTACAAGGTTGCATTAATAGTAGCAATATCTCATATTTATATAGCTATTTTCAAATATTAAAAAGTATCCTTGTAGTCAGTAGTAGTAATCAGTATGACGGATAGATTGATGTTGAGAGAAGACGGATGAAGGGACTTGCCAAAGGCCAAATAGTTGGATCATGATTGAAGTAAGATTTGAAGCAGGGTCACAAATTGCACTTGGATGTTCAACAACCCCTAACATAGAAAGTTTTAAAAGAGTGCTAGCCTTTCAAACTGGAAGATGGTTGTGACAAAACTTTACCAATTCAATGTGATGTTTGTACATATCACTGACTGTAGGACATGTAATATGTTACTGGTGGTGGAACACAATTTTGAAAGCAGAACTCAAGCAATGCCCTCTTGCAGTTTTAAATATGTTGCATGCATTTCCTACTTTTTTCCAGTCTGCTTATAGCCATAGACTTGGTTTTCTTTGTCACTGTCCCAACATTTACTTGCAACTTAAGCCTTAAATTAGCTGAACTATGAAGTAAAATCTGATAAGATGAATCCCATGAACACAGTGTGTGCTGAAATTTTTGCTGCTGTCTTCCTCAAAGCAACCAGACCACCTCTGATCTAACTGTGCTTGAAGTATCTTGTACAGTTTTCTGAGAGATCTTTAAATAACTGCAGGTGAATTAGTCTAATAAAATATGTCTTCATGCTGTGGCTTTCTTCATGCATTTATTCAATAATACTCCCAAGGTATTCATTGGCACTTAAACTTTAATTGTTTCTGGGATAGACTCATATCTGTTATTGTCATGAGAAGATGTGATTGTCCATATATGCCTTGCAGACTATACTGAAGAAATATCTGGATCTTTCCGCTTTAAATGTGCCTTTCTCTTTTCTTTTCTCAGAGCCAGGATGAAAGATTTGCTTTCATTGCAGAGTGGTATGATACAAATGCATCACTTTTTCGACGTTATGAGCTGTTGTATTATCCCAAAGATGGCTCAGTTGAGATGGTAAGAATCTGTTGCTGTTATAATGATACTTTGCAAATTGCTTTGCTTAAGAGCAAAAATAAGCTATCCATTATCATAGAAAATCAGAACCATAAATATTGCTTTTTTTTTAGGAAATAGTTTTAGAGGAAAATAGGGCATAATTTCCTGTTTCCACAGGCTTGTATTAGAATTTGCACATTTCTTTTTGTAGGGAGAAGCAAGTGTGAGAGCTTTTCTTATCCCCCCCCCCCCCCCCCATAATGCTACAAAGCAGTGGGAGTTAAGGGTACCATTAAATTAGGACTGGTTCAATGGTTCTCGTCAATCAGTGGAAATTAGGGTTACTATCAATTAGTATGATCTCATCCATGACTTGCTGAGCTCTGAATGTTTCAGAGACCTTTGTAGATCTGATCTTGTTATGCAGAGTGAGTATTGGACAGTATAGAAAAGTAATAAGTAAATAATTCTTAGTCTTGGGCTTCTGCTTGGGAATCTCCCCTGAACCAAGCAGAGAAGAAAGACACTAACTCAAGTAATTCTTAAGTTACTATTTTGATAGCAACTGCAATATTTTATTTTATTTTTCTGTTGTTGTTCAGGTTTTGGTTTTGAAATTCACAGTTAAAATAACTTAAACATTGTTATTTTGATATTGTGTTAGTCAACTTCTCCTATATAATTAATTAATTTTATTTCATAAGACTGCTGCTGAAAAGTGGAGATAGTAGTATTGCACTCCCATTGAATGAAGCTTGGTTAGATTCTTCGTCAATTGCCTTTTGGAAAAGGACTTTATGATCAGATTAGCAAGGGCAACTCAACAACAGTTGCTTCCCATAATCATAAATACTTGATGGTGACAGTAAAAAAAAATCAGAGTTAAGCATTCTATAGACTTGAACTGGGTGTTGTACATGTTTGCAAATACACTTGTGAGTTTAGAGGTAGTTTTTGAAAAGCAGTGTAGTAGTTCTGACAGTCATTCTTAAGCTGCTTCTCCTGTATCTTGAAGTGGTACATAACTGGAGTGATTACATAGGAAACAGAAGTACTCAGGAGATTTTCAGGGTCAGTGGTGATAGGTACCAGGATGATGACCAGTTAATAACCTGGCCAAGCAATCCAGAAAGTGGATAGAGTTGTTATTCTTTTGGACTCTAGGCTGCCTTCACATTCTCTGTCAGTGAAATTGGTGATTATTGTACTTATGTCTATAGTCAGAATAAAAATGGAAACAATGAAAGTTTGAATACTAATAATCTTGGAGATGTTTCATGCCAAAATATTATTTGGTTGCTTGGTAAAATGGTGGGTTAATTCTGGATAATGTGACTCTCACTTTTCCCCCTTGGCAAACAGAAAGTAGTTCAATGATGCATAGAACTTACTCATTCTCTGAGTAACACCTGTCTTCACCAAGCTGTTAAGGTACACAGGAAATGAATGAAAGGTAGTGCATCCTTAGACAAAGCCAGTCACTTTTTGTTTAATCCCACCCACGCTGAAAACATCCAGCCCACAGAGCTTCACAATAACATTAAAGAATTCTAACTGGCTTCTTAGAACACAACTCCCGATGCTTGATGGTTTGTTTGTTATTTTCTGGGATCCGAAAGGCCATGTAATCCATGCATGGAGTTAAAGGCTTTGAGGGGCTTCTCCCAATTGAAGGCTGGTCCTGAAAGTCATGGAGATTTTGAAGGGGGCTTCAGTTGCAACACGAGGAGCATGTGGCTGAGGGGCTTTTTGGTCCCAAGCTAGCATGCTTCCCTTCCTTTTTGTAATGAAAGTGTACAAAAGAGGGAAGAATATATTTGCAAGCTGTATTTACCAAATAAGCTGTTGAGTTTATGATTGTTTACCCATATATTTGTGCACCTGTTTCATTGTTTTAAACAGATTTATAAATAACTCAAGTTACACAAAACACACAAAATCCTGAAGGGAATTGGGTTTGTTAAAAAACAAATTATCACACTACTTGGTAGTGATTAAGAATAATTCAGAAATTTTCAGTAAATATAGCAGAATTGTCAAATATTGTTGAAGTAAACTAGGAAGCAATCAGGAAATGTTTGGAAGATAACTAAGGGAAGCTACATAGGAGAATACTTTTACCTTATATTTTGGCTGCAACAGGAAGCCCTGAATGCTGAGCAGACTGCAGTAAAGAGATTTGGGGGGGGGGGTTGTCTGAATACCTCCATTTCCTTGTTATGAATTTATATTAATGCTAATTTTAATGGTTGTTGTTTTTATCTCTGGGTTATATTTATATTTTTTATTTTTTTATATCTTGGGTTTATTAAATTCTGATGGTTTTATGATTTTAGTGTTATTGGCATTGATTGTGTGTTGTCATGTGTGTTTTATATTGTGCCATGTTGAAATGATTTTTAAGGATGTGAGTCACCCACAGAGCCTATGGCTAGTGGGGCAGCATACAAATCAAATGAATGAATGAATGAATGAATAAAAATACATTAGGAAGCATCACTGAATGCTCCGGTTGATCTGCCCCAATACCCTCAAGGGGAGAACTGATAACTATTATGTGGGAAAGAAGTGAAAGAGACAGAAACAAGAAGTGGAAACACTGGAGCCTGTTTAAGTTGGATTTTTCTTCCTTCCCATGTGACTAACAGGCATTAACTACTATGTGGGGAAAAAGGGAGCAAGACTGGAGCGGACAAAGGCCTGCTGTAGTTGGATTCCCTGGATTGTTGGGAGCCCTGCTGATAGTTTATTTATTTTTTTCCTCTTTCCACCCCACCTCATCCCTTTTCTCTCATGTGTCATGTTTTAGATTTTTAGCCTGTCTTTTTTGCTGATTTATTTTAAGCTGCTCTGGAACCCCTTTTTGATTGAGAAATGGGATATTAATACTTAAATATACATAAATAAGTATCTGCTGAGAAGTAAGCATAAACAGCATGTCTGTTTTTACACAGGACAAACCTCTGCATATCAAACATAAGCAAGAAAAATTGCTCAGTTGCATTTTCAAATGGCATCCCAAATAGGAAGCCTATAGATGACTGCTCAGAAGTAAGCATGAACAGCATGCCTATTCACAAGTATGCAGGACAGTCACTGAAAGGCAAGTTTAAGGAGTAAACAGGACTGAATGATTCAGCAACACTTCAAAATAGATTTTCCACTGAGAGGTATGCATGTGCATCTTGTGTCTTCAAAAGTAAGGAGACACATGTCTGCTGTAGTACTAAGATAAGCAGGCTCAGAAGGAAGCAGGACTGAGTCACTTAGTAGCTTTCTCCCTTGGTACCACACTCTCCCCCTGCAGTAAGCAGCTGATCAGGTTAAGTACTTTTTCTTTTATAGAGGAGATAGGTCCAAATGGATAACCAGATTTCAAACTCCTGTTGTTTTCCCACCATAGTTCCAGTCCTGATCTCTACCCTGCTTTAGCCCCACAGTAGCTATGATTAATAACTTTATTTTAAATTTGTAAATTTGGGCTATGGGGTAGTATATACACATAATAAATAAGTAAGTAAGTAAGTAAGTAAATCCACCTCCACTAGCCTTAGTGGGCTTGAAATTCCCTAAGTTGTTCTTAACAGAAGTAAAGCGTCTAGTTGAGGCTTCAGGGATTTTAATGCTTGGCCTTTGTGCTCATTAATTCTAGTTCATTTTTAAACCTGCTTTTGTGAAAAAGTATGAATAGAAAGTTTTGTTTCAACCTGGAGGCTTCTGTTTGTGAAGTTATCCTATTTTCTATGGAATCACTTATACAATTGGTTTATTGAAGACAAGACTATTATCTAGTAAATGCTTATATATTAAGATCACCTACCAAGTGTCACATAATGAGTATGTAAATGTGCGAGTCTGCCTTTCTAGTTTGAGCAGAGCATGACTGAGCAAGAAAATTTGAGCAAGAAAATTCTCTGTATAGCTGCCATTAATACAATTTGCATTTTTGTAATGCATATACTCTGTAATAACAACTGTTTTAAAAATAATTTTCTCTATTCAACTGTAATTAAAGGAGATAATTAATTCAGCCCTATATCTTTTATATCCCAAACTATTCAACAGTTATTCTATATTTCTAGAAATGCCGAGCATGAAGTGATAGCATATTTTTGTAGAATCCAATAGCTTTAGACAGAATCCTGTGAATCTTTGCTCTTAGAAACAACAGTGTGTGCTCTTCTTTGTGCATGATTATAGAGAGAAATCTGAAAAATTCTTGGCAGGTTTTTGCCAAAAGAGATAAAAATGAAAAGGTGTCAGATGCTTATATATTAAGAATATGGAAGGAAATTCAATCTCCATTAGACTTTTTCCCTGTATGCACAGATAGGATGGATATTTAGCACTCTAGAATCAAATTGACTTGATTATCTTTTTGTTACTTCAAAATTACATATACACATGTATTTAGGTCCACATATCAATAACCAGTTTTTTTACCCTGCAGTATGATATGAAGAACCACTGCAGATTCCTGAACCGCACCAAATATGAAGATCTGCACTTTAAAGATCTGTTTGTGGGCAACAGAATCACTATCTTCTCACGTCATCTCAATTTGGTTGACTATGGTGATCAGTATACTGCCCGCATGTTGGGTAGTTGTAAAGAAAGGTGAGAGGATGTACTCTTTCAACCTTTAGGATATTTTCACCTTTATATGCTATTTTGGCCAGGACAAGTATAGTGTTTTCTGTGATGGATTAACAAGAAAAAGAAAGTGGAAGGATTGGTCTCTGATAAAAATAGGATCAGGTTTATAAGATGCAGGAAATGGAAGTGATTTATTTATTTTAAATTATTTTTCAGTTTCTTTTAAGGGTAGAATACTTTCAAGGTAACCTACTAAAAATATTATGAAGCAATAAAAGCATCAGTAAACAAATATTTAGTAAATGTACAAAACCAAAAAGCAATAAAATCCCCAGTGCATGGAATACAGAAAGGCTAGTAAAAGTAGTTTGGTCTTCCTAAAGACCTGCAAAGAAGGGGCCTGATGGAAGCAATTCCAGAGTGTAAAACTATAACAGAAAAGGTCCTTTCCCCGTACCAACCAATCTTAACACCTTTCATGGCAAGCAGGTGAGAAAGGCCTCTGTTGCTGAACCTGAAGTGAGGGCTGGCTGGTATAGGAAGAGGCAGTTTTTTAGAAAACTTCAGCGAAAACCATTTAAGTATTTAAAAGTTAAACCAACACTTTAAATTATACTTGGAAATGCACTGACAGCTAGTGTATCCGACACAGTATTGGTGTTGCATGACAAATCACCCAGCTTTTACCAGTGTCTGGATAGCTATATTCTGTATTAGCCAAAGTTTCTGAATCCTCTTCAGAGGCACTCCACATAGCATGCATGGCAATAGGCAGCATGGATTTCACCAAAGCAAAAAAAACTGAGGCAAGATCCTCATTCAGCTCAAGTTGCACCTAGCATTCTTAACACTGTGCCTCCTGTGCCCAACCCTGCTAAATGATCCAAGAAGAATTTATTTTTATTTATTTTATTTATTGATACTGAAAGCAACTGAAAGGTCAGGAGAGAGTGTTGCATTTTCTTCCCCTGTCTTCTGCCCCTAAGTTCTGGCCATAAGTCACATCATAAGGCAACCAAACTGTTTTGGCCTCCAAACTGGCCATGAACCTGAATGAATCCAAATAATTAACATCATCCAAAACTATGTGAAGTTGAAAAGCGGCCATGTGCTCCAACATCTTGCCCCCAAATCATAGTTATTATCAGAAATCAATGGATCTAAACTAGGTTTCTTTAGTAGTGTTCTTGCCAACTGCTTCCTTTAAACTACTGGGCGCCACCTTTTCTTTAAAGGAGGATTTAACAATGTCAAATGTCCAGATATCTAGCCTTGTTCTGGATCATTTCACAAGCCAGGATGGACAAAGGTCCAGAGAATAGGTGGTGGATCTCAGTTCTCTAAGACATTTGTGTATGTTTTTAGGATCTGCATTTTGATCATATCCATCTCTGACTCTAATAAAAGAATAGCATCTAAACGGCCACAGGTACAAACAACCTTAAATTTACGCTTTGTTTTTCAGCCAGTATTGTAAGCCATTTGGAAGACAATCAAAATGATCAACAAAATAGTATATATTAGAGATACAGGGAGGTATTTATGATAGAAACATAGAAACAGGGCGAGTCAGAAGGGGCCTCCCGGGCCATCTAGTCTGACCTCCGGCACCAGCCGGTTCCGCTCACGACATGCTCACCATGTGGACGTCCAGCCTATCCTTGAACACCCGCACTGATGGGGCCTCAACGACCTCTCATGGAAGCCCATTCCACACCCTTGGGGTCCTGACTGTCAGGAAGTGCTTCCTGGCATCCAAATGGAACCTTGGCTCCCTGAGCTTTGCTCCATTGGAGCGTGTCCTGCCTTCCTCTTCAGGGGAGAACAGGTCTCTACCCATCTCCATGTGACATCCCCTCACATACCTGTATGTTGCCAACATATCCCCTCTGCGTCTCCTCCAGGCTGAAGAGACCCAGTTCCCTCAGTCTCGCCTCACACGGCATCCCCTGCAAACCGGCCACCAACCTTGTGGCCCTACGCTGCACTGACTCCAACCTGGCTATATCCTTTCTGTAATGAGGGGCCCAAAACTGAACACAATACTCCAATTGCGGGCACACCAGAGTCGTGTAGAGTGGTAGTAATACCTCTCTTGATTTAGAAGCCACACTTCTGGCTATGCAACCAAGGGTTAGTATAATAGTATTGTCTGGTCCCTGGTGGTTGGTGATTACCTCCTAAATTTCAGGTTCTTTCTTCTGGGGAGTATGAGCAGAAAGACTTATGCTTGGCTGATGTTAAGGATGCCAATCTATGGAAATCATCCTTTTGAGTCCAATCCTCACCTGTCAGCTGCTGAATCATGGCTGGCAAACAGTCTTGTAGTGATTATCTAATAACTCAGCTTCATTCGTACAGTCCTTCCTAATGATGTAAAAGATTCTTCTTTGACAGACATGTATATGCTCCTTTGAAAATTGTGCTAAGTTATTAAATGAGCTTCAGCTGAAAGAGGTGGCATGGGATCAGAAAGTGTGGTGAAATTCGGCCCATAGGATCGCTTATAGGCAGACATGACTGAACAGCTGAACAACAAAATGGAATGAGCATTAGCTTCTAAACCTAAACCATGAAATTGCAGGTCTGTTTTTTCATTACTTTTAGAAGGGAATTAAACTGGGAGGGAACAGTGGTTTGTGTGAATTTTCATGTTTGGGGACTTATAGGTCTAGCAGCACCAAAAGCTTCACATGGGCATTACAGATTTTTCTTGAATCTTGTGGTGTTATGAACTTGTGAAATACAAATAAGAGACATATGACTCACACACATTTTAACATTTGATAACTAATACTGTGGAACAATCCTGACTGGTATCAAGAGTAACAGCATTCACAGTGTGGAAGCTAGTTCTTTAGAGTTCTTGTAAGTATTATCATGTCTAGAACTGTTACAATATCTGCTGGAGCATCATGACAGGAATCTTATGCTGTTCCTAGATAACAAGGATCACCTCTTTCTCCAGTACTAAATTTAACTGAGGTATGCCAATGGCTTTGTAGCCAAAACAACTGCACCTGTGAAGAAGAGGTAACTCCGAGTTCCAGGAACACCAAAATTTGAAAAAATATATACATATTTTTATACGGAGGCAAGCCTGCCCACAAAGAGGAAGAAATAGACTCTTGTATAGAGATAACACACAACTGTTACTTGAACCTCATGAGGACGTGATGACTGACATCTCTCCCCATTAAGCCCCATTAACCTTGCTTTGAGAATCCAGAAAGCATGAGCACTCCCCCAAGCTAATTTTTCACTTAACCCCCAGGGAAATTATTGGAACGAAGTGTGTACTTGAGAGTGTTATGATGACCATGGGGCCTGGGCAGCTAACTGCCTTTGACAGAGGGAGCTCAAAAAGGCAAAGAGAACAGAGCATGCATTTGCTGCAGCCTTCCCACAGGGAATGCTAGACACGGACACTCTCTAGCTGCCCAGAGAGGTGGTGGGCTCTCCCACACTAGAGAAATTCAGAAACAAACTGGACAGTCATCTGAGTGGGATGGGGTAACTTTGTGTTCCGCAACAGCAGGGGCTTGGACCCGATGGCCTTCATGGCCCCTTCCAACCCTGCCATTCTATGATTCTATGACTTATAATTTTACACATATATATATATCCCACCTATTCCTAGTGATTAGGACACTTCATTCACTCTGCTTGTCTCCCTCTCTCCCCTTCACAACTTTGCACAATTCCAGCGCTTTTAGGATTCTATCATCCCATTCAGACTTTAAAGCAAAGCATAGCACACACTCATCGGCAAATTCAGTCTCTCAGTGATCTGTTAAGATTTAGGACTAATGCCAGATGGTGGGCTCCTAGCACTGTTATGAAGAAGACATGTCGCCATGTTAATGGGTTACGTGCTGTAAGAGAAGACAAAAAAAAAAAAAATGGTGGGAAAGTGAGTTAAAGATGTTATTTTCTAGACCTTCTATAAGGTTCCATGAATGAAGCAGGGCAGTGACACCGTAAAAACCTTGCCTAAAAAACTGTTGACCCACCCACCCACCACCACTTTCTGTTATGGTTAAGTTACTCTGATTTCCAAGAGATGAGAAGGAAATCCAGCTCTTTGTGTTAAGTAAGCACGGTGAGGAAGTATAGGAAGATTTAACTTGGATTATATATGGGTTGTCAGAAGCCAGTTCCTCTCAACATATGCACCCTCTCTCGCCTTCACTATGAGAATATTAGCAATGAACAATATTGTAGGATTGTCATAAATCATTTTATTTCACCCCTAAACATGTAAAGTGGCCATAATGCATTTCAGTCACACTGTCTTCCATTTGCAATATGGAGATATTAGAAAAGGAAGAGATCCATATTTGTCCAGTGTGTATCACACGGGTCACTGGTCTTCTTCTGACCGTATATAACTATCTAACCAGTATCCTTGGAAGGTAGACCAACAAGGCATCAGATAGTCCGCCTATTACTGCCTCCATGCAAGTTTGATTTGTATTACTCATTTGCTGTTGCTTAGTCACAAAGTCATGCCCAATCCATCATGACTTACCTGATTTAAAAACACATGTGAACGATGTGAATGACTTTAATCAATATGGGAATGTTTTGTTGTGCCTATTTATTCATTGTCTTTACTATCCAGTATCCAAAGCTATAGAAATATTTGTATTTGTGATGGTAGAAATGTTTTGATGCCTTATTTCTATCTGATTGCATTTTGTTGTTGGGTTTTTTTGTTTTGTTTTTTTGTCCTAGAACCTTGGCTTTATTGAAACCTGATACAGCAATCAAACTTGGGGAAGTCATTGATATGATTATTAATGCTGGATTTACAATAACTAAGGCCAAAATGGTGAGACTTACCAGGTAAAATTCCAATAATGGAATTTTATGCTATTTAAATGCATGTCATACTTTCAAATCTCATTTACTACTCACAAAGAAAAATCTCTCTTAAGGAGGGACTGTGCTTACTTTAAATGTATGTCTGCTACCAACCCACAACTGTTTGTCTTGTCTTCTGGGTAAAGTTTAATTAACATGCGTGTGTGAAACCATCATCTCAGCATTTTCCTGTCTCTGAATTGAAGAGGGAAGACATCTTGAGAGCAATGATGTGATGCAGTGCAATATCATAACTAAATATTACCATTAACTGCCTGAAGGAGATACCATGAAACCATGCATTTAAGGTGATGCGTAGCTTTTGTCTGTGGTCATCTGGACTTTAATTCAAATAGATGAAATACAGTAGGGATGGGCCAAATGCACAGCATGCTGTTGCATATGCAAGTGTGCTTATCTCTAGCTACCCAGCATAAGCCTGTGCTGATCATTGCTTTGGAGAAACAGGAAGCTTGAGTTAAGTTCCCAGTAGATTATCAGTTCTGCTGAAGCTAGCAGAACTATTTGGCACTGCTTATCCTCTTCCAAGTCCAGTATTGGGAACTGCACTGAAGTGTAGACTTGCCGCCCTGGGAGCCAGGCTAACATCCCCTTTTTGTGTGCTTGGTGCCTGATGCAGCAGAAGATGTATTTCCTGATAGGGAAACTTAGTTTGTTGTCAACTGCCCAGACAGCTTTGGCTATGGGTGGTATAGAATTTAAATCATCATCATCTTCATCTTCTACATTATTCTGTGCCACATGCATAGTGGACAAGCATGGACAGTTCTTAGCAGTGCATTTATTTAAAATTATTCAAAATGCATCTGTTTTCAGTAGACAACTTATGGCAAGCAAATGCATCATTTTTCTTTTTTTAAAAAATGGAACTCTTTGTTTCAGACTTCTGTGCAAGCTCTGAAGTCTGCATGGATTTTCAGAAACAAAACATGTTTACTTTAGTAGCACATGAATGGAACTTAAGAAAAGCTGTTGCTGAGTCAAGTCAGAGGATCATTTAGACCAGCATCCAGTTTCCCACAGTGGCCAATGAGAAACTTCTGGGCAGACCACAAGCACATCATGAAGGCGACAGCAGCCGCTTCCACTGTTGTTCTCCACCAAATGATATCTTCATAAAATGTACAGAGCTGGCTGAGTACTTCTGATTCTAGACAAAAGCATGGGCAGCAAAAGGTCCAAGGGAGGGAGGGGATAAAAGAAGCATGTGCAAATGAAAATCAGGAGAATAAGGCAAATTAGTATATTACTCCAGGAAAATTGGAAAAGGCAAGAGGTAGGAGTTTAAGCAGCAAAGAGAGGTTAGGAGAGAATATTCAGAGATAAAGAATTCAGGGAGCTGTGTGAAGTGAACCAGGCTGAAATTCACTTCTGAGTTGAAATAAGGAAGCAGATCTCTGATGATATATATTTACTATTAATTTACTTCATTCAAAGCACACTGGTGTATATCCACATAACTTTTGCATGAGTAGAAGGCTGTTCTGCTCAATAAAAGCTGGGTGATTGATTTTTTTCCAACCCAGTTGAACTTGCCACTCTGCATCGCATACTGTTGGAAGTGCAAGAGGTTGCGCTGGGGGGAGGGCTATAGCTCACTGGCTGTGTACCTGCTTGCATGCAGAAGGTCCCAGGTTTAGTCCTTGGCATCTCAATGTCTAACCCTAACTTGGAACCCCAGAGAATCATTCCCAATATGTATCAGCATTTCTGAAGTAAATGGACTAATGACCTGACTAGGTATGAGATAGCTTCCTATCGTCCTGTAAAGGGCAGCTGCATCCCATGACAAATGCAGAACTCTGCTTGTGTTTATTTGGATCTGCTTGTGGTCATTTGAAAAACCTTAATAAAAGTTTTTTAAAAATATTTTGTAGGGGAGAAGCAATGGACTTCCATGCAGAGCACCAAGCTAAGCCTTATTACAAGTAGGTATATGTTTCACTATATAGGATTGTTTAGCTCATACATTGAACCTTTGGAGATATTTATCAGATTGTCATTGATTTTTACCTTACTGATGAGATATTTACACCCATATACTGTTGATAGTTGCTTGTTTACACCAGTATACTGTAGATGGCATTTTGCCAGGCATAAAAGAAGCTGAAGAAGTTTGCAATTTTAGTGTACCTCATGGTTTCTCCCCTTAATCCCAAGAATAAGGAGCAACAATAGTAACGGCCACACATTGATCCATGTTTTTTTATGATGGCAGTGATAGCCCTAATAAGCTACTTAAAAGTACCAGTGCCTTAGTTATTTGAGCTTTAAAGCCATAAACAGTTTGTGATCAATTTATTTGAAGCACTGATGACTTGGTGGCACACCTGGCTCAAGATCAGCCTCAGATGCCTTACAGGACCTCCACCAGAGTGTATCAGATTGGGACAGCATCTTTTCAGTAGCAGGCTCACAGTTATACATGGCTATCTGTATGTTTTAACAGATCTTGAAGATGTTTGTTGAATCTCAAGTTTTTTGAGGCAGGGACTGAATTTGCTTCTGGTGGCAGTAGATTGGCAAGTGCTGACCTTGCTTTGTTAGTTTGCAAAGTTGTGAAAAAACCTTCTTGTTTTGGGGATTTTTCTTTTAATGGGCATCACCTGAGCATCACATGATTGAGCATGGTTGTTTGGAGAAGGGCAACACATGGAGAGTTACACGGGGGAAGCTTGCCAGGCTGGACAGACAGACTTGGCAAACTTTTATATGATCTATATGCTGCCTATTGATGATGAGCCTATGTAACTGCTTAATCTGAAATGAAGCTATAATAAGATAAGAAATGTTTGGTAGCTGGTAAGTTTATTTTTCATTTGTTTCAGTGCTGACATTTATAAATGTTAGAGATTAAAATGAATTCAACTGTTTTGCCTCAAGGTAAAAAAAATATACTTTTTTTAATACATAGGATTTTTGTACCTGATTCTATACATATGTTCTTTCTTAAGTTGAGGTGGTTGGCTTGGCTAAAGAAGAGCAGAATCCTGTCCACTCTTCTAGTTCTTCGTCGTGGCCCCTGTGCATCACACATATGGGTACTGCACCTGCGCAGTGCCTTTGGCCAGAAGATTGCAAGCTAATGGTTTTTGGCGGGAAAAAGCTCTGCTCCCCCTCCCCCATGGCCTATAAAGAGCGGAACGTCCGCCATTTTGTTCAGTCTTTGCAACCACCGCTCGCTGTGCCTCGTGCCGCTTTCGCTCTCACTCTGACTGTTGCTCGTATAGCCTCTTTTCTTCTCGATTGTTCTCCCAGTTGTTATAGTCCCAGTATTTTCTTCTTGTTCCTGTTAGTTCCTCTACTTCGTATAGTTCTTGTAGTTTTCTCTATCGTTCTACCTTTCTTTCGTTCTATCTAAAAAAAAACAAATATATATATATACACACACACACACACACACACACTTGCCCTCTGCACTCTCTCTCTTTTTTTCCCTTTCCTGCAATGGCGCAGCGAGCGGCTTTCCACAAATGTGCGGAGTGCGGGTCAAAAATGTCACCAACCGACCCGCATGACCTATGCCTCCTCTGCTTGGGTGAGGGGCATAGGACCGATAAGTGCTCTCACTGCCTGGCCTTCTCTAAGGCCAGGAAGAACCGCGAGAATCGCCTCTGGAGGCTCCTCTGGGATCGGGCTCTCATGCAGTCCGATCCGCTTGTTGCTCCTCTGAAGCCTGGCTCCACTTCAGTGGCCCTACCTTCACGCCCTTCGGACGAAGGCATGTCTACTACGGTGGCTCCCTCTGCTTCTCCCAAGAAGAAGCAGGAGAAGCGAAAGCATGCTGAACCCGACAAATCGGCAGGCCATAAGAAGGCCAGGAAGGAGAAAGTATTGAAACCTTCCAAGAAATCGAAGGATTCGGAGTGTCCTCGACACTGGGACTCGGATTTGACGGCCCCCTCGGTACCAGTGGCACTTACTGTACCGATTCCACCCGACCCGGTGCTTCAGGAGGCTATGTGGGTTACCCCTCAAGGGTCGCCATGCTGTGTGGCTGACCTTCCCACTGGGCCTCTTCCAGCTCTGCAAAGAGGCTCAATTTCTGATGGGGAAATTCAGGACTCCCCCCCCTAGGGCTCGGTCGCCTACACCTATGCCCGCGGCCACTATGGAGGTGGATGTGGAGATGTCCCTGCCTAGGAGCCAGAGGAGCTGCTCCATGGAGCAGCGCTCGGAGGGATGGCGTCGTCCCTACTATCACGCCTGGGGCAATCCGCTCTCCGTCGGGTATTATCCCGCTCCTAGTGGTCGATCTTCTCCACCATCCCGCGACCGACCGCAGTCTTTGGACCCGAGGCATGCATCTCCGATACCTCCTTGGGATGGGAGTAGCCGCTCCTTCTCTCTGGCGGAGTCCTCGTCATCAGCTCCCCCGTAGTACAGCGCTGACTCCGACGATTCAGAGGTCGATTCAACCTCCCCTGACGTCGCTGTGACCTCCCAGGGCCCTTCGTCACCGGACGAATCTCATGTCTCCTTCGTGGAGCTGATGTCCCGGCTTGTCCAGAACCTCGACATCGACGCCGTCCAGCGTCCAGGACCAACTACGGACAAGTTCTACAATGTCGTCCGCGGGGAGCAGTCTACATCGGTTGTCCTGCCACTGATAACCACCTTACAGCAAGCGATGACGCAGCCCTGGGACTTGCCGTCTCACCCTCAACCCACGTCCCGGAGGCACGAATCCATGTACCGGGTTCGGGAGGAGGACATCTCCTTCCTCCTCCGCCACCCCAAGCTGAACTTGGTCGTGGTGGAGTCCTCCCAGGGCAGAGATGCGAGAGGTCACACTGCACCACGGGACAAGGAGGGCTGAAAGATCAACTCCCTGGCCAGGCGAGTCTACGCTGCTTCAGGCCTGGGGCTGCGTATCTCCAATTACGAGGCGACGTTGGCGAGGTACCAATACTTCGTCATGCAGCGCCTCCACAACGTCGCCTTGACCCTCCCGGACCACCAGGGTGACCTGGCCAAGGTTCTCATTAAGGAGCTAATGCAGGTTGCTGTCCAGCAGTTGTCCACAGCCAGGCATCATGTGGACACAGACTCGAGGGCCTTGGTCGGTGCCATTTCGCTTCGGAGACACTCCTGGCTCAGAAATTGTAACTTCCTGGAGGAGACTAAACGTTGTATAGAGGAGATGCCTTTCGATGGGTCCGGGCTTTTCCACTCTCGCACCGACCACAAATTGAAGAAGCTGCATGAATCCCGCATGACGGCACACAGGATGGAGATCCAGACCCAGACCAGGCGTAAGTGGTCATGGACTCGCCCATCTTATAGGCAGTCATACCAACCTAGACAGCAGCACCACCAGCAGCAGCAGCAGCAACAGCAGCGCCACCGTCCACAGCCCCAACAATGCTATCAACAGGGCCGTCGCCATTTCGATGACAGGAGATAGCGTTGATGGGACTGGCGAACCTTTCCTCTGCCTTCTTCCATACCCACCCCCCTCTCATCTGGGGATCGGCTGCGAAGCCGACTCCCCATTTGGGAGTCCATTACATCTGATCGGTGGGTACTGTCCATCATCCAGCACGGCTATCGGATAGAATTTAACATCGTTCCTCTGTCGAGTCCGATCCGCTTTACATCATGCTCGCCGGTACTGCTCCTTGAAATATGACAACTTCTTTGTAAAGGAGCGATTCGTCAAGTATCCCCACCTGACGGACTTCATGGATTCTATTCCAGATATTTTACGGTCCCGAAGCGGGATGGTGGTTTACGTCTGATTCTGGACTTAATTGATTTATTGTGACAAAAACATTTCGGATGACCACCCTTCAAAATATTTTGCCGTTGCTAAGGAAAGAGGATTGGCTCACCTCATTGGACCTGAAGGACACCTATTTCCACATTTTGATCCACCCGAGTTATAGGCGTTTCCTTTGTTTTGCTGTTGCACCCCATTTCTACGAGTTTACAGTTTTACCTTTTGGACTGGCCACGGCTCCGAGAGTATTCACCAAATGTATGGCCCCTGTTTGCGCCTTCCTACGCCTCCAAGGCATACAAATTTACCCATATCTCGATGATTGGCTGCTAGTGTCCCAGTCTAGAGAAGGTCTCCTTGCATCCATCCGTACAACCTGTGCCTTATTGGATGATCTGGGCCTACGCATTAATACTGAGAAATCTTCTCTTCTTCCGACGCAGACTCTTACCTTCATTGGAACCTGCCTGGATTCGATGTTGGAGAAAGCCTTCCTTCCTCGGGACAGACAACAGACTCTTGCTCACCACATCCATCGAATGCAACAAGACGGGACGGTCCCAGCGAAGTCCATCCAGAGGATCCTGGGGCATATGGCTTCCTCAGTTGCTGTGGTGCTGCACACCAGACTTCGGCTCTGTCCGCTACAACTCCTCTTCAACAAGATGTTCCACCCTCAGAGAGACCCACCATCGAAGTTGATTCGAATCCCATCCTCGGTGTTCCATTCTCTACTTTGGTGGTCGGTACCAGCCAATCTGACTGTTGGAGTCCCCTTCAGGGCACGATGTCCTTCGATAACCCTCGGTACCGACGCATCTCTTCTGGGATGGGGAGCGATATGCTCCGGCCTATATACCCAAGGTACGTGGAATCGTCGAGAGTCTACGAATCATATCAACTTCCTGGAGCTGTTGGCAGTATTCAAAGCCCTACGCTCTTTCGAGGACATTCTCCAACATAGGGTTGTTCAGATAACTTTGGACAATGTAGCTACCATCTTCTTTCTGAACAAACAGGGGGGAACAAAGTCACCGCCTTTGGCCAGACTTTCAATGAAAATTTGGGACTGGTGCATTCCGAGAGACATTACACTGATGGCTGTTCATCTAGCTGGTGCAGACAATGTGCAAGCAGATCTTCTCAGCAGGCACATGTTCATCTCTCATGAATGGGAGCTAGATCCTCACACACACGACCATCTCTTTCATCGCTGGGGTTCCCCCGCCGTGGACTTATTTGCCACCCAACAGAACAAGGTGTGCAATGCTTACTGTTCGAGAGCAGGAATCGGAGACGGATCCTTAGGGGATGCTTTCACGATCCCATGGAACAACATGATCTTTTACGCCTTCCCTCCAGTCCCTCTTATTATGAGGGTCATAGCGAAGATAGTATACGATCGAGCCTCGGGGATACTAGTTGCCCCTTGGTGGCCACGCCAAGCTTGGTTTGCGACACTACTCGACATCTCTCACGGGGAATACCTTCATCTACCACTGCTTCCGTACCTTATCACCCAACAGGGCGGTACGCTTTGCCACCCGGACTTGCTGTCACTGAACCTAACAGCGTGGCGAATCCGATAGCTACCATTGTGCCATCGGTATCGACGACAACTTCAACTGAATCGAATCCTGCCATCGAGTCTGATTGATTCGGCATTTTCTCTTCCCTTCTTCATTCCGTACCATCGGATTCAAGGCTTGACCCGTCGAATCCGACAGCCTTTCATCCTGATATCCAACCTATCCTTGATTCTGCTTTAAAGCTATCCACATGGAAATCTTATGCAGCTAAATGGAGACAATTCTCTACCTTTGCTGAGTCTCGTTCGTTCTCTTCATTTATGTCATCTATACATCAAATCCTTCAGTTCCTATTAGAACTGCACCATTCCGGATTAAAGCCATCTTCAGTTAAAGTGTATATGGCAGTAATAGCCTACCATCGTGGCTTAGTTGACAGATCACCTATCTTCTCTCAACCTATTGTTAAGAGATTTCTTAAGGGACTGCATAATCTTAATCCATCAATCAGACCAGTAATGCCTACCTGGAGTTTTTCTGTTGTTCTGCAAGCGCTTACAAGAGCTCCTTTCGAACCATTGACAACAGTAGATTTGCGTCTGGTTTCCTGGAAGACAACGTTTCTTGTGGCGGTTACTTCAGCCTGAAGGGCCAGTGAGCTTTGCGCTCTCCACATAGACCCACCTTACCTGAATTTTCACAGAGAAAAGGTCGTTTTGCACCTTGACCCCTCTTTTCTTCCTAGGGTGACTACGCCTTTTCATATGGGACAGGATATTATTTTACCTGCCTTTTTTCCGTCACCGTTGACTCCACTAGAGAGATCCTTGCATTCACTTGACGTTCGGCGCTGCTTAGGCTTCTACAGATGGAGGATTGAATCTATTTGACGTTCAAATAGACTATTCATTAAATATTCCACCAGAGATCAAAGCAATCCAGTCACTCCGCAGAGACTTTCCAAGTGGATAGTCCATACTATAACCTTATCCTGTCAACTGGCTAAGATTGATTTGCCTACAGCCCCTCGAGGCCATTCGACTAGGGCTGTTGCAGCCTCATCCGCCTTTGCATCGGGGGTCCCACTTGATGATGTATGCCAAGCTGCTACTTGGGCGAACCCTTGTACTTTCACCAGACATTATCATTTAGATGTTCGGGCTCGGCAGGATTTCTCCTTTGGCAGAGCCGTTCTTTTGTCTATTCTTCATTGAGGACACCTCCCCTCCTCCTTTATGGTAAGCTTGTTAATCTACCCATATGTGTGATGCACAGAGGCCATGACGAAGAAAAGCAGGTTGCTTACCTGTAACTGATGTTCTTCGAGTGGCCATCTGTGCAGTCACACAACCCACCCGCCGGCCCTGCTCGGTGTCAGTGAGTGGACATATTCGTCGGTACCGAAAGTATTTCCTTTTTTTCATGGTACCGATCCTTTTTTTCCTATCTCATACTGAAAAATTTTTCCACAAGGGGGCGTACGTTTGGTCATCAAAGACTGAACAAAATGGCGGACGCTCCGCTCTTTATAGGCCATGTGGGAGGGGGAGCGGAGCATTTTCCCGCCAAAAACTGTTAGCTTGCAATCTTCCGGCCAAAGGCACTGCGCAGGCGCAGCACCCCATATGTGTGACTGCGCAGATGGCCACTCGAAGAACATCAGTTACAGGTAAGCAACCTGCTTTTCTTTATGAATTCTGACTGCTCTATGTTCTGTTCACAGTGAGCTTCTTGAGTTTATTACAAGTGGCCCTGTTGTTGCTATGGAGATCTTAGGAGATGATGCCATCAGTAGATGGAAAAATTTATTGGGACCTGCAAACTCTGTTGTAGCCCGAACTGATGCTCCAGACAGCATTAGAGCAAATTTTGGAACTGATGGCATAAGAAATGTGGCTCATGGCCCTGATTCCTTGGCTTCTGCAGCTAGAGTAAGTTTTTCAGAATATGTATCTGAGTCTTTCTTCAACCAGGTGACTGGGTTTTCATTGGTATGAGTATCATTAAAATTGTATCCTGATACTTGTGATTTAAGAGTGTCCCAGTGATATTTTCATAGATTTGGGGTGCAATCCTATCATGCTTAGACAGGGGAAAAAGGCCAACAGTGTCCAGCATTCCCCAAGCAGAATAACTTGGAGGTATATGACCTTTTTCTGTCTAAACATGAATAGAATTGCAACCTAAACTTTTTTAGCTAAATCACAAGTAACAGCTATTCTTAGGCTTATCTTGTCATATACAACAGGGTAGGAAAACCTAACCCAGCCCTCTGTGCCTGCTTTCCCTGTCCTCACTTTTTCTATCAGCGATCAATCCTTTGGTATCTTTCCCCATTTTGAAAAGCTGAAGCTTAGTTCCTGATGTCATGAGCTTTACACTACATTTTTTTGGTCCTTCCCACTTTGCCTTTGCCGTGGCTCCTCTTTGTCCCAGCCCACTACTGGAATGCAGCCCTTGAGAATTTCTCTAAATCTGAAATTGGCCCACAGGATGAAAGAGGCTCTGTACCCCCGACAGACAAGTACAATTAGCATCTGTGCCTGTTCAAAGTATTGCTTTTGACCTACCAAGTTTTATGCAGGCTAGCTCCAGTATACCTTAACTTTAATCTTAGCTAAGATGGAATTGAACAAAAATGCTGAGAATCTGCACTACTAAAGAAATTACAATAATGCATTTACTCAGGCCTTCTCATTATGGATTCCGTTTTCCAGAAGTATTACTTTGACAGCAACCAGATTTTAGCATTTGTGTCAGAAATGTCAGCTTTCTGACTTGCACGAGCTTTTAGCAATGTGTGTGCTGAGGGCTGTGCTAGAGGCATGTCACTATTAACATGATTTCATTTTGTTCCCTCAATATGTTGGCAGCATTGACACAGTCCCTGATTGCTTTTCACTGGTGCTTTGAGGGATGTTAGAAGCATGTCTGCTGTTTTGCTTTTTCTGGTTGTGTGTTTTTCCCTCTTCTTCTGGACTGAGTATAGATTGGATATTCTCAATATTTCTTGTATTTGTACTCCTGTATTATTTCTTGGCCACAATTGCCGTGGTATATTGGTCCATTTCACTGCAATTTAACCCACAAAACATGTCTGGTTGCACATTTATTTCTCTTCAGTTTGAAACCTTATTTTTACTTGGAGCTCTACTAGCTCTCAAATTGCTTGTCTGTATTTCACTGTACCTTTAAGATCTCCAAGACTGACCTTTCATATATTGGCATTTAACTCACAGTATCTCTGCATTACTCTTTACTGTACTCTCATGACCTCTGAAATTACATGTTTGAACATACCATACAATGCACACTAAATTGCTCCTCAATACAATTTAATCTTTAGTTCTCATGGCCAAGACCCCCAGTATCAACTGCTGCAGAAATAAGACCAAACAGAGAAAGACAGGAAAATGATGCTGTAGGAGCAGGCTCTTGCAATAGAAGCCTTGTGCTTAGAATATATCTTGGGAATCAGTGCTTGAAGGCTTCTGCCTCCTTCCTTGGGCACTCTGGGGGTGCTTAAGAAATGAAGCTTCTGTGGTAGGAACTTTCCTAGAGCATAATTAAGATAGACTGTGAGACAAACTGGACAAAGTGACTACAAAATTGCAGTCTTGGCTATCTTTTCAGCTCAAGGTGAAGGTGTTTTTTTAAATTCTCCCAGACTTTCTGAGTGTTTCATCCACACACATAACACAGTGGTGGTATTACGAGCCATACCTCATTTTAAAAGAATGTATCAAAAGGGAGATACATGAACACCACACTCCCACTTGAGGAAATCTCCAACTTTCATGGAGGAGTTTTGCAGATGCACACAGATACATTTGAAATGTCTGGAGGGGAAGTATATGCCCCTCCATTAATGTCTTCCAGAGGAGTGGAGCTAACTCTTTGATTTCTAATGCTGATTTTCCAATTACGTACTTTGCTTTTTAAAGCACTGTTGCTTTAAGGAAGCAGGCATTTCTTCATCTTAGTTCAGTTCCCTAAGCAAACCCACTTGCCAGTAGTCATTTTCTTGCCTCCCCTTCCTCCATTAGGTCAGAGGGCTTGACTTAATGTTCTCCTTTTGATCAGGAATTCACTGGAAGTGTACAGAGTTGTATACGTACATTTCCCAACTGTTTCTCCTGTTAGGGTCACAGGTCCTTAAGATGAATGATCCTCAGCTGGCAGGCATGCTTTCACCTGTCTTGTTCACAAGGATACAGAACAAAGAAGTCATTACTCAGTTATCTTCTCCTAAAGTTTCACTCTTTCTTGGGGCCAGCTGCCTTCTGCTTACAATTTGGCAATAAATGCTTCTTTACCACTTCTAGAGTTTTCTTTGCCATGTAGGTTTTCCCTTCTATACCTTCAGCCTTCTTTTTTCTTCTGCCTTTGCCTTAGGTACACTGCTCCTTTCTGTGCCTGACTGAATAGCCTTTCTATGCTATGGACAATAACTATTTAAAAGCTTCTTAGCTGCCATTCTGTTTGCCTGTGTTTATCAATCAGAATAAACAGAATACTCATTAACTGGCCCATTGCAGCCTGACCTTTTCGTTTGTCCTATCCAATATATAAACACCTGGCCAACTATGAATCTCCTTAAGCATTTCCTTAGTAATAACAAGATATGGGCCAAATACACATGGGGCAGCTTGTCAGCTATTGACCTCTCGTCCTGAAAGGGTGGGTGGAATAACCTTCCAGGGAATCCCAGGGTCTCCAGTACACCATTTGAATGCAGTCATTTTAAAGTATCAGGATGAAACATCTGCAGTCATTTGGAAACAACTATCATACTGTTTCATCCACAGCAAATGTAAAACCAACTACTCCTGTTGTTGTAGGGTTTTATTTTCTTATTATCCATTAGGCTTAAATTGAAGGTCATGGGGATCCGGTTGGATACAAATGCTGAATCCTATCTTATCTGACCCATTTGCCCAGACCATTAGGAATAGGAAAAAGTATTGAATGTTGGTTTAAGGGACATGGGATTGTAAACATAGAAAATTACCAGCATGCCGCATGAGGAAAATTACCAGCATGCTGCAGAGGAAAGACCAAGGAAAAGCATGGATGAGTGGATGCTAAGATACAATTAAGCAGAAGAATATGTATAACTATAGGGTATGCTTACTGTTTATATGGCATGACAGTAAATGTTACTGTTTCCATGTTTTTTGGTACATAAGTAAATTTGTAAGCAACATCTTACACCAAAGATGCCTTGATTCTACAATAACAAATTGGCACAGTATAAATAGTAAAATAAAAAGTAGGTAGCAAAGAAACTTGAGAAGAGCCCATGTTTGTCAGTGTAGTACTAAAATATAGGACATGATAGGGCAGATCCAGGGCTGCTTTGATGAATTTCCCTGGCATTGAGCTTCACTAGTGCTGATATTGATGGGATAATAAAAGCTGAATGTGACGAAGGCAAGAAACAGTCTTTTAAAAGTCATCCTGGAAATTTGGCCTATAGTAGATACAGTAGATTTATTCACATTATTCTTAATGTTTAGTCCTGAATAATATTAATACTCTGCAGAAGTAACAACATGAACACATTTGAACATTACGCACTTGAGAAACTTAATGAGTTACCATCTGTTTTGGAATGAGATGGAATGTATACCTAGCATTCAGAGAAAAGTTTCCTACAGCATTTTGAAACAAAGCTAATGGCTAGAAAAGCAGGAAATGTATGAATAGCATAATATTAAGTTTCAGTAGTGTGTTGTAGGAAACTCAAGCACATCAGATTTTTTACAATTGTGATTGCTACAAGCCTAGTTGGAGTGCTAGGACCATGAGCTATCCAGTTATATGCTATTAAATTTTAATTTCAATTATTTTCAGGAGCTGGAGCTGTTCTTTCCCTCCAGTGGTGGCCGTGGACCTGCAAACACTGCAAAATATACACACTGTACCTGTTGTGTTATTAAACCTCATGCAGTTAAAGAAAGTAAGTTACTTGGGCCTAGACTGCTGTGGATTTTGGCATCACTTCTTGGATGGACAACATGGGTTTTAGACTCATGTTGTTGTATTAATTGTTAGGGTGCAGTTAATAACAAAAAGAGAAGGAATTTCCCCACAAATGCTGTGCTTCTGCTATTTTTATATTTAGAAAAGAAGATAATACAAAGCATGTGATAATTTAAATTTATGTACAGAATTCAAGTGAAAATGTAAAAAATGAAAATGTAAAAATTATAATAAATATAGAAATTAACAGTATATATTTTATCAATGTTTATGAAACTACTGCAATTATAAAAGTTTTAAATAAATAAATGTTAACTAATGAAATAAGATAATGTGACATTTACAACAGAGAAAAACTTACACTGTTCAATATTAAAGTTATAACTTAGTTTCAAAACAGAAGATCAGTATTAAATTGTATATAATACCATTATATATCTACATGTATGTGTTTTTTATTTTTTGTTTTTATCTTTAATCTATATACTCTTAAGTGTTGTTATCTCTGCAGTTTCCTAAGCTTTCTGTGAGGACATGCATACACCTTTCTATTTTTGAGTTACTGTGCTTTTTTTTTTTTTTTTTTTACAGCAGTTAATACATTCTAAATGAGGTCTTTTTTTTTGATCTAAAGCATCTGTTTTTACTGGCCTAACAAAAACATAGGGAATCTAGTCAGGTGTACTATTAAGTATATCATGTTGCATATATATCGCCAAAGAAATCTTAATCATGGGACAGTTCTACAAAACAGGCTCAAAATCAGCTCTCTCAGATTTGTATCTGGCTCCTACATGTTTGTCAACAGTAGGAGATAAGGGATAAAACAAGAGATAAGAAGTTTGTATTCTTGAATGTTTAATCTTATTGTCCGTGTCACATGGACAAACTAAATGATGGATTTATACAAATATTTGTGGGAGTGGATCTGTTCTACAGAAGCAGTTAATGATGCTCTCTGTATGGATGCAAACATGGCTGCTAATATATGCTTCTCTCTTTTGATCTTGCTGTGCTCCACACATGTAAGAACTTTTTAAAAACCCACATAGTTTTGTTTGAATGTAGGAGCTGTAGTTCAGTGGTGGAACACATACTTTGTATAAAAAAGGTTCAGGTAGGACTGGAAAAGCCACTGCCTGGAGAGCCACTGCCAGTTGGAATGAGGTAGGAATGAACTAGATTAGCTAGTGGTTTGACTGTGTGTAAGACAGTTTCAGCCCCACCCCTTCCTATGTGAACGCTACTTAGGATGGATTTAGATGATCTACTAATAACCTCTCAATGATCTGATAAGCTTAAAAGTTTCCCTCTGCTTTGACAAGTATGCTATGGTGTGCTCTGTTGGAAAAGCTACTGTGGCAGAAGAATTTAAACAATCAGGTTACTTTTTAGATGAGGAAAAGCCCTTAGAAACAAGACCAGCCCATCAGCTTTCCAATGCAAATTAGCTTTTAGAGGAGGCAGTGCTTGTCATTGGATTTTAGCTAAGGTGCATTCCTTTTAACACTAGATACTGTTGTAGATACTTCGATGGGTGTTCTGGCCAGTCTGAACAGCGGCCATCATTTTCACATTGTCTAAGTGTGCAGGTTTGTCCTCTAGGAACACTTTTCTGTAGGAAGTCAGTAGCAATGTACCATGGGTTCTGAAGGTCCAGGGGCAGATGAATGTTTGTCTTTTCTAAGATGCTGTGCTTGGAATGAGTCTGTTGAGCCAGTGCTGCGCATCAATGGAACCTGTACCATGCTTCTATCTTGGTTTTTTTTTCTCTTGGTCTGGAAGAGAGGGTGCATTCTGTGGTAGTCTAGCTAAGAAAACCAAACCCTGGGAGGGTTCCCTCCTCCTTACTCTCATCATATGTCCTTTCTGCCCCATTCTTTTTATGTGTAAAGATGCTGAAGTAGATATCACCATCCAAATAAAGGAGGCACAGGAATATGGGATGTGGCAAGGTGTGACTCTAAATTGGAAGGAATGGATCTGGTTCTTTTTCAGGTCAGCTAGGTATGTGAAAGCATATTCAACAGAAAACAGAATTAAATGTCTCTTTGCAATAGTTTACATATACTGGGTAGTCCAGTTTTTTGTACCTGGGAGGGCTGCATGAGGACACAGAACCAGGGGATCATAACAGAAATAGTTGATGTTGAAACATGTGCTTATATAGACAATTATGTTTTATTACCTTAACATCAGATACAGGAAGATAAATACAATCAGAATGTTCACATTTTGATTATATGTTGTACTTCAGCTGTCTACAGTTTCTAAAGCAAATTTGTATAGGAAGTAAATGTTAATTGAAACTGTATTAGGAATACATACACATTCTTTGGTGCACTGTAAGTTTTAGATATCTCTTAGAAAAGTTGAATAGATACTAGACATCTCTTTTAGAAGTAACATTGTGAGTGGCATACATATTTATGTATATAATTTGTTCACCATATTCCCAGTCATACTTAAATTTCAAGGTTACTAGGTGTTTGATGAGAAGGCAACTGGGAGCATATTCAATCTGTTTTGTGCAGAGAAGGGCAACAAAAATGATCAGAGGGCTGGAACACCTTCCAAATAAGGAGCAGCTACAACAACTGTTCAGTTTAGAAAAACAGAGATTAGGGGGAGGCGTAAGTGTTTAAAATAATGTTTGGTGTGGAGATTATTAGAGAGGAAGATATTTTCCTCTCTTCTATAACACTTGAACCTAGGGTTATTCCATGAAGCTGATTGGTGGGAAGGAAGCTAAAAGGAAGTACTTCTTCACACAGCTATGGAATTCACTGCCATAGGAATTGGTGATGGCCACTAATCTGCATGGCTTTGAAAAGGAATTGGACAGGTTCATGAATGAGAAGCCTATTAGTCGCGATTAGCTTTGTTGTCCATGTGCTACCTCCTTTACCAGAGGTGGCATACCTTCATATATCAGTTGCTGAAGAGCTTGGGCAGAAGGGGTCTTGCACCTGTCTTGGTTGCAGGATCCTGTGGGCAGCTGGTTTGCCACTGTGTATGCAGAGTGCTGGACTAGATGAGTCTTTGGTCTGATCTAGCATGACTTTTCTTGTGTTCTTATGTTTAAAAGAGAAAATTAGATATTAATCTCCACCTTTAGGTGATTGTCATAAATCAGTCTGGTGGAGGAAGGATTGTGTGACCTGGATTATGTCAGGTCATTCATGTCATTTTGTCAGCATTCGGTATCCTTAAACATTATTTTTAAAAGAGTAGCTATGATTTGCAGTGCACTAACTGATGAAGTTCTATATAAAGATTCATATAGTATCTTATCAATCCAGTGTATTCCTGTCTACCATCCAAAGTTGGATGAAAGAGTTGTTTCTGTTGCTCATAATTTTTGATGGCTTGCATGGGTTTTCCTCTGAGAAAAATGTTTTTGACAGTTAGGACGAGTGTGATTTTCAGTAGAGGTGCTCGCAGAACTAAGTGGAGGTTTTTGCACGTACAGGTTCAGTACACACATCACTTTGTTATGTAGAGTTATGTAGAGACTGTGCTCATCCCTGGGAGCTCACACAAGATGCTGATTAGCAGAATTGGAACAGATGATACACTTCAAGTGAAGGATCGCAAAGATATCATTGCACAAAACCAATTTGACCTGTACTTTGTGGTTTGGCTTCTGGTGGTTCTTTATGGGAGAGCATAATTATGATTAGAATGCGATAGTTGCAGTCCCCTGACTGTTGGTGATGTGTGATATCACATCAGTCAGCACATTGCAGTAGCAAGTGCTTTCAGTCAAGAGGGAAGCATCTGATATTGGCCTTTACTTGCCTGTCTTTTAAGAATTTAGACCAACAACCCATCATATTTCTTTCTGCTTTCTGAGTTGTTTCTGGTTATAACTTGTTTTCTCTTTCACAAAATTGGATGAAATCTGCAGATGTAGTAGCTCCGACTGAAGGAGATGAGACCTGCCAAATTGGTATAGAAGATGCCTTTTAAATACTGTTTTTTTTTTTAAAGGTATTGTAAATCTATTTCTTAGCAAAACTGGATGAGATTTATGGGTGTAGTTGCTACTTCTTTGGGGGAGAATAAGTCTGCTAAGTTCAAAAAGAATAGGTACAAGGATTTTTGTGCAAGAGCAGAATTCATGGGGTTTTTTTTAATGTACTTATGCCCATACGTGTTTTCTGGGAAATTGTTGCAGTGTGCAAAAAGCCTCAGTTAAGTAGTCTGAAAAATTTACGTAGGATAAGTGTAGCAGTTTTTGTGGAAGGGGAGTCTTAAATTTTGTTGCTTCTCCTGCCTGATGTTTTTTGTTACTTTGCAGTTAGCATAAAAATGAGCTAGAAATTGAATCTAGAACAATGTAAATTTTCCACTCACTTGTCAGCAAAGTAACCAATTACAATAGAACAGGGATGATGGATGGATGGGAAGCATGCAGAGGCTAACAGCCTTGAACATCCAGCAGTTGCCAATCAAACATCCAAAGCTACACTGTCAAAGGACCCTAGAGGCCTGATGAAAAGTCTTTTAACACCCCTGATTCTGTCAGGGAGAACTAGCAAAGAACACAGAACAGTGGATCAGTTTTACAATATATTATCCCTTCCAAAAAGTGCTATGATTAGAGAGCTCTGAACAAACCATTTATTGTAATTAGAAGGTAGAAATCTCAGTCACAAAACTACACCACCTGCTTTTCCTCCTGCCTCGATGTTTCTCTTGTATGGACAAAGTGGGAAGAAATGTGCCATTTTTTCCCCTGGGTATACTGTGTCTCTCCAAATTGCTAAGAAAGCTTTGGGAGGGTTCAGATTAGATGTCTCCTTCAGAAGAGCCCTGCATTGAGTTGATCATCTCCTGAATTTTGGCAAACAGCCTGATTGCACACCCATGATATAAAATGCCCTTCTGTCAAGCTCAGTTTGATAAACATATTTGCAAAACTGACATGTTTATAGTCATGTAGTGGCTATAGTGCAATTGATCATGTAGTAC